CTAAATTCGGACAGTAGTCACTTTTGCATGTAAAAGCCTATGTCCGAATTTAGGGCGCATTGCAAAAACGCTTCCCAAAACTAAACCGTGCGACGGAAAATTAAAAACTAGGTGTCATATTGTAGATAAAAGTAACAAGTTTCACATATGTTGTGGTCACAATAACCCGGGCTTACACTGTTTGGGGCCCCAAATAAATTCTTGCAAGACACATTTAAAAACGCCTTTTTGGGGGGCTAAAAATACAAATTTCAGGAATTGCTGGAGGAAGCAATATCACTCACACATTTATTTTTTTAGCAGAAATGGAAATTTGTTGGTCTTACATTTCCATCAAACCCATAGGAGTTAAATTTTGTAAACGCATTATGGACTTGGAGGCGACAATTGTGAAGTTCGGCACAATGTCCGAATTTAGGGCGCAAGTCCGAACTTAGGTAGGAACAATAACTGTATGTACTGGGTTGCATGCATTTCTTTTTACATATTCCCCTGTGTGAAAACTCAGGGTTTGCCACCCCAATTCGCCCGCAAGGCACCATGGCCCCTGCAGCTCTAGCAGGTATAATCTCGCAACAACTTCATTTATCTTAAATCTAAATTATGTGTTAAAAACATGCAAAACGACGCTTCCGACAAAACTGAAATTGTGTCAAAGTGCGCTCTAGACAAAACGGAAATTATGTGAAAAAAAAATATAAACTGGGTTGTGTGAAATGACATGAGGTAGAAAACCATTCTGTGAAAAAAATGATGTGAACCGTTACCGGGAGGAAACAGTTCGGGAAGCATTACTGTTCTTCTTTGGATCCGGTTTAAACTGGGTGAATTACCCTATTGAAGGATGATCCTGGATAAATAAAAAATGTTGTGACACAGTCGCATGCCGTTTTATTATGATTGCAAGCTATTATGAACAATTTAAAAGGCCACGTTCTTTCCGGGAACCCGCCTAAAAACTCGTCGCTGCGAGAATTGAGGCACGGTGCATATAGTGCGGGCGACGCGCAGCACCCCACATTGAAACTATCACTGCTGCAAAAACATAACTTGCGGAACATCCACATTGAAGTACGGACGCGCTCGTATCAGCAGAAGCCATCCCCGTACTTGAGTTGATAAGAGAATGATATGTTCTGGGCGGTAGAGACAGCGTGTCCGCCCGGCAGAGCTCGTACCTAGCCGAAAAGTTAGTGTCTCCCATTGGCTGGTAGCAGGCATTGCCACCATTAAAGTGGATCATGGCGTAGTCATCGCAGTTAGTATGACCGTCTCCGTTGCAGTCCTGGAAGATCACGAAAGGGCGAATACCTCAGACCGTTTTCGGGATAGTAAGACAGTTGGAACCTAAAGAAGAAAAGCATGACAGCCCGATCTGTTTCCTCCTGAACTGTGATTGGTCGATTGGTCGACGATGACGTCGGTTTGTCAGTCAGCCAATAAGCGCTTAGAAGAAAGCGGATCGAGCAGTCATGCTTTTCTTCTCCAGTTTCCCGCGAAATTGGATTGAATATGTTCTTAATTTAAACTTATTTACCTCAAATAAAAACTTAACACTAGAAGGACCGGGATTTTCTTATACCCAGAAGGACCAGAGGGGTCATTTTGACCCCTCTACAGTTTTTGGCCGTTTTTATGACTGCAAGGCTGCAGTTTCATGGCACATGCGTGTTTGAAAGTACCTGATGCCATGAGGCGACATTGAGTAGGTTCAAAGTGTGTTTGGGTAGGCAACCCGCACGGCACGAAACCGTCTTTTTGCAATTTTTCAGCTATTTATGCTAACTGTTCGCAATATTTTAGACCTTTTTAAACTTCAAAATTAATATTCGACTTAGTACACATCTGTAAGAGTGCGATTTTTATAACACATAAGTACTCCCCGTGATAAAATGGGTCCTGTGCGCGCCGCGTGCGCGCTGCGTGCGAAACGTGTTTGCATTTTGTGCACATCGCGTGCGCGCCACGTGCGAAACGCGTGCGCGCCACGTGCGCGACGCGTGCGCGACGCGTGCGCAGCCTTTCTGTGCGCAATGAACTTGTGCGCAAGTTTGCCACCCCAAAGACCGCCAAGGCTGTACACCCCTTGCCCCTTGTGCGCGCTGGTGTGGTCGTTGCGCACAACTTCCGTGCGCACTGCGCGGAATCCTCCGCCGACGCTGTTGCTTGTCCTGATGAGGACCACCTCGCCATATGCCATTCTGGTGTCCGACCCGCTAAACACAGCGCCGAAGTCCGTTTCTCTCCGCGGTTCGCGAGATACGAGGGGGTACCACGAGGCCCCCGTCAAAGACAACAAAATTTGAGTGGATTTTTGGAGGTCAAAGTGATCCTGGCGCCGGCCCCGTTGTATGTCCAGGACTTCTGACCTCGGCATTCGATTGTGCAGGTGGTACCCCCTCGTATCTCGCGAACCGTAGACCGCAGAGAGAAACGGACTTCGGCGCTGTGTTCAGCAGGTCCCGGACACCAGGTAGTCATATGGCGAGGTAGTCCTCATCAGGACAAGCAACAGCGTCGGCGGAGGATTCCGCGCATTGCGCACGGAAGTTGTGCGCAACGACCACACCAGCGCGCACAAGGGGCAAGGGGTGCACAGCCTTGGCGGTCTTTGGGGTGGCAAACTTGCGCACAAGTTCATTGCGCACAGAAAGGCTGCGCACGCGCACGCGTCGCGCACGTGGCGCGCACGCGTTTCGCACGTGGCGCGCACGGCACGCACGGGACTCACTTTATCAGGGGTCGTGATCCACGCAAAAACAGTTAATTTTTTTCCTAATTTGGCACTGACAAAAATGTGCGTGGCAGTTCTGGCAGTCGCAAAACCTCGTACTTTGTGCTACGCGCCCCTCGTTGCCATCAGAACACGATTCCGGTGACGGAACTACCACTTAATCCTTGGATGTGATGTGATTTAGAAACTGGATTCTGTGACGTACGTGTTGCCTACCTTCGCTGAATGAAGGAGTTTATTAGTGTCACATGACCGACCAAAAGTCATTAGCTACCCTAAATAATATATACGGTTAGCGTTATTAATGAAAAGTCAGTCCTCGTAAGGTTACACCTATAAAATCTCGCGAAGGGGTCAAAATGACCCCTCGGTCCTTCTAGGTATAAGTAGTAACATATTTGAAACTTCTTGTCGCAGACGGTTTGAGCTGTTTGCACACTATAATTGTTTCTTCTTGTGATGCACATTATCTACTGATTATAACTGATTGAATCAGAGAGTAAGATTTATTGACCAAATATCATGTTATTTCCTTTTTCATCTGATGTTGTAGTTATGTGGCACTTCCAGTTTGTAATAATTACTGTACAATGTTAATTATTTTTATATTAGTGCAGTGGCTCACACATGTTGTTTTACCTCCATAGTACGCCAAAGAACTTCAATTTTTTGAGTCAATTAGAATGTCTTGAGATGTTTGTAGTGTGTATAGTATATTTTTTCTTCTTCTGATGGATAGTATGTAATATTATTAACTGATTCAATCAGAGACTACCAAATATATGTTATTTCTTTTCCTATTTGATGTGGTAGTTGTTTGGCACTACTGAAACTAGTTCGGTTATTAATGGTAGTATTATGAGGTTTCAATAAACTTCCCATAGAAAAACATAACCTAAACTGGTCAACCCAATCATAACATAGCAGACGTCTGCAGCTGTTTGGTCACGGCCTGCTCGACTTTTACCCTTTGGTGGCGCCACCTTCAAACCCATACCTGACACTAACTCCTACTATTGTTTTACGACCAACACGTTGTTGTGCGCCGCAAAGCATGGGATCTTGAATAAAAGCCCCTGGAGCCCGGGGCTCTTCGCCACACTTCCATTTGACTTCGACTTGTAATCATTCAGACTTGGCTCCGCACAGCCAATCTCCCAATACTACAATATTAATGTCATTTTTTGTACTGATATGGAGCTATTTCCTTGTTTGGTAATAAATCAATAATTTGGTGAAACAATCTTTGTGCATATTTGTTTTGGAACATACCTCATAATAATAATTGATTTCCCTCTATCTAAAAGTAACTGTATATGTACAGTTCCCTGCAACCTTTTTGTTATGCTTTTGAAAGTGACATTAATTGACATCATTTTGAGCTCAAAAATACTTTCTTTGGCTGTATGATAAGACGTCATTTTGACGAACTGAAATGTGACTAGTATTTTATGTCACTTGACGTCAAGATGACATTTGTCTGTCCTATGTCCTATGAGATTGGTTACTTAGTTTTACCCTGCACCATTTGACTCACCTGACCATACTTTGACATGTAGTTGGTGACGGTGACAGCAGAACACGTGTAGTTCCGGCCACAGTCTTCGTAGGCTAAGTACAGACGCATAAAAAATACGCTTGGTAACTGAAACGAACCTAGCAATGCAAATACGGTAACCTATTCAAAAAGGAGTTTCTATGTAAAAGGTGTCCCCACAATGAACGGGGGCCATGAGCCATGGGCCATCACCCGCGGCTCTCCCCCGTGGTACCTAGGGCCTTTTTCTCTTTTGGCCATACATTCGCACTTGCAGTTGGCTAATTTACTTTTGATATTCACGTTAAAATCTACGTGAATTTGGGCGGTTTTAGGAAAGATGGCCTGAGGCTTAGGGCTCGTGGCCCATGGATCCTGTTCATTGTGGGGGCACTTTAAGTGGTTTGGTGCTAAAAATAGCTAAAATAGCAATAAAGTGGCCATTGGCTGTAAGCATTGCCTTAACCTTTTGTTGTAATTTTAATACTGTCAAAAAAGTTATTAAAATTCATAAGAGTTGTGATACTAAGTTTAATAACATTCCTGATGTCATAACCTTGTTGTAAAAAGTAACAACTCTGTTATGAAAATTCATAGAAATTGTGAAATAACATGTTTTTATTACACGTTATGACTTTTCGAAAACGATTGTGAGTTCTAATAACTATTAAATGTTCAAAAAACTAGTAAAACACACATGTCTTGATTTTACTTTGATGCTACAGGTCTTGAGTAAACTCGGGAAAGCCAAACGCAGGCACAGAGGGGAAAATTTGGTTAACTAAAGATGGAGGACGGGTAAGATTCCGGGTGCTGCCGGCGAACCACCGTCAGCCGTCGCTCCTCCCCACACGGGCGCCCCGTAGGTTAATGGTTAAGCGAGCGTGTTCGACTCCGGGCGAAGTTTGGGTAACATGCGTTTACCAAAGAAGTCTGAGAACCCAAATGAGAAAGGGAGGTGAGGTGAGGAGAAGAAGGCATGTGAAGTGAATTTTTTTTATTTTTTTTTTTGTTTTTTAAACGAGTCGACATTTCACAACTCGTGTTATTATTTTTCAAAACTTAAGTAATGAATTTTCATAACACATATGTTATTAATTTTCATAACACTTATGTTATTAAATTTACAAACAATGTTTCTGTTAATGCTTCCAGTAAATGTTATTTAATTTAAGAGATAATTTTTTAACAGTGTATGGACTTACCTCCGGCTCTTATTGGGTCGTCTTCAGGCAGCACAGGCTTGCCACCATCTCTCCAGTACACTCTGGACATGTAAAATGGGCCGCAGAAACCAAGGGCGCAGCCATAGGTCGTGTTACAACCCGAGGCGGCTTCGCAGATACAGCGTAAACATTTCGCATCCAGGTTTGGAACAACCACTTCTGTAGACGACAAATAACAATACGTTTTCTATGATACAACTGCGTGAAATCTAAGAAGAGCTCTCAGGTGCTTTGCTCAGTTTGGAACATAAGAATGATGTGAGGTCAAATATGATCAGCTCCACACCATTTAATACCCTATTAGCCGTATAGCAATCATACCCTTAGCTATGTCTGATATCCAGGATACGTGATGAGCCACGTTAGTGAAAAACGAGTTTTCTACTTTGTTGTACGCCCCGAGGGAAACAACACCTCTCAAGAACCATTTTCCTTCTGTCTCAAATGCAATACCCCCGCCACTGTCCCCTGGACCAACAGCTGAGCCTGTCAAAACAAACAAAAATGCATTAAAACTAGGTGGTCGCATTTTAAAAATCAGTTTTTGCTGAGCGATTGCGAAGCCTACTCCAACGCCCTGTGAAATAAAACAAGCCTTCTTCCGGAATGCTTCTTGCCGATCGCGCTGTCTTGTGCACTGGCCGTGCACATCCGTGCCTAAAAGTGCACAGCACTACAGCTCTACGGTGCAAGGCCCACGCAACTGCTGCTAATATAATGAGAAGCTGAACTGGCCAGATCACAACCACCTACCGTTTAAATTATTTCAGTAGAAGCTCAGTTCTCGAGCAGCTTGATTTGGTGGGCCATCATTCTGTGGCCCACCACGACCTCGGCCAACACTGAGCTGACACCGAATAAACCCAGTAGGGTGTTCCAGGCTATTTAAAGTATTAGAAAGTACAATGGTAGCTTTGATCCGATTGTTACTTCTCAAATATGGAGGGGAGCTCGAAACTGATCTGACAGTTTCTCATACCTAAAAGGCCGTAGATACATGTGACCAAATCGAACAATCGGAGCAATTATGGAAACAGAAACCCAGCTGGCTGTTAGATGTTGGATACAGCATTTGAACGGCAACTGTGACCACGACAAACACAGTTGAAGTCCACGTGGCCCGACGCCATACCAGCCATACCCATCAGTTTGGGGCCAGACCCAACGCAGGACCCATCTGCCTGGGGTCGAACCCTATTGAGGACCCATCTGCTTGCGGTGGACCCAACGCAGGACCCATCCCTATTGGGCCGGACCCAACGCGGGACCCATCCCATTGGGGCCGGACCCAATGGAGGACCCATCCTTTTGAGGACGGACCCAATGCAGGACCCATTTGTTTACCCGTACGAAAAAGTTTAGTCCGGCATCAGTCCGTTTTCGGTCCGGAAAGAGTCCGGCTGGACAGTCCGTCATCAGTCCGCAAAAGCGAGCGGACTAGTCCGCGAAAAAAGCCAGATCGACCAAAAACCGACCTATTTGCCGGACTAGTCCGGCTAGAACTAGTCCGCTTTTGGTGCGCATTCCCGCCTCACCAGACTGATCGCGGACTGGTCCGCACGCAGAGCAGACTGAAAGCGGACTACCTGAAGCACAGCTGACCACTACCGAGCCAAAATTGATTGGGAAAAGTGCAAAGTTTAATGTTTATTATCGCTAAATGAAGTAAAATTTCAGGTCAGGGTAAATCAAACAGTGGTCCTAGAGTGTTAGGAACGAGGCGAAGCCAAATCCGCTGTCTGTTTTGACCTAGCTCAAGCCGTTTACGAGTTAGCAGAAAAATTTGCTTCGATTTCAATGAAATTAAAATGGCCCTACTACAATAGGGTGTAGATGTCCCAAATAAAATTTGAGGTCAAAATTCCTATAACTTCCAAAGTTACAGTATGGTAAACTTTATTCGGGATTTGCTCCGGACAATTCCTTCTTTTTAACAGTGCTGTGCTCTGCTCCCAGGCGGACTGAAAACGACCTGGTCCGCTGCGGTGGGTACTCAGGACAGACTGGTCCGCCAGTAGTCCGTCATTGGAGGACTGATAGCGACCTAGTCCGTCATGGAGCGGACTGAAAGCGACCTAGTCCG